GTGTGAAAGAGCCTAACTGAGCTAATGGTTTTGTTATTTATTGAAATGTTGGATGATTTACAATAAAATAATATTTTGGTGAATTTATTGTCAATTAAACCAATAAAGTGCTGCTGCCTTTTCAGTGCCATTAATGTGTTTGGTCTTTTATATATTTATTTATTATATATTTGTTAATGTTTGTGGGGTTGCGGCCTGCAGTCCCATGGAGTTTGAAAAAGAATAAATCTAGCTCTGAAATAGTACACATGTACATTCCCTTATGGCACTATGTATGCATAGCACAAATGTTTTTTATTAATCTGAGGCCATGAGAAATACGTGACACCTTACAATTACAGTTGTGTAAAGCAGTACTTTATGCAACAAAATAAAAAGCACATATACATATAAATGTTATATCAAGTGAAAAGTATATACAAGGAAAGAACACCTTCTAAAAACATCTAGCTTTAGCTTTGAAAAAAATAAGAAATGCTTTGGAACTCTGTCAGGTGTTTTTTTTGCTGTCGTTGTCTCATCTGGGAGACTTCTTTTCACTACCTGTTTGAGACACAGTACAGGAAGTAAAAGGGATCTCGCCTAAGCAAGAGGAAATTCATTCTGTGACCAGAACAGGTGTCTCCACTGGAAGATTTGCCCTCACCTTCTATTCCAGTGACAACTCTAAAATTCTGGACTTTTTAACAGTTTCCGTACCAAAAACAAAGGTGAACAAGACTAACAGGGAAGGTGAATCTCCCCATTGGGGACACAGATAGCAGTATAAACCTGACAGGTTGTTTTAACATTACCCTGCTCAATTCCCCCCAAAAACATTTTGGCTTTACCTGTGTTTTAAAATATTATTTATTTCCTAACTGAAAATGAAGTGCAACATGGTATGCTAAATATTGGATTTTTAGAACTTTTTAAAAATATTTTCAATTCCTCATAACATATATATCGGTTTTTAACTTGCCTTTCTTTTGTTAATGGACAATGTCAGTAGAAAGAAAAAAATGTCATTCAAGGATAACTGAACATTTAATACAGATATCTTTTATAGGGTCACCCCAACACCCCTACTCCTCCAAAGGTCTTACACTAACCAGTCTTTGATCCTCTAAGATCACTGTGTGCCCTGCACTACCTCTTCTCTAAAATTCTCCTGATTGGATCTTGCATGTTGCAATCATCATTAATTCCTATGTGAAAAGCCACTAATCTTGTATAGCCTATTTACAGACATGAATGAAGATTGTGTCACGTAAAAGAAGTAGAGCTGAGAATTTTGAAGAAAAAGCAATGTGGTGCCTAGCAGGTCAGCCTGGAAAGATCTCAGAGGAATGAGGACAAGTAAATGTAAGACTTGAGGTGTGGGCTTGGGAGATGGCCCAATAAAGGATAGATGTAGTAAAAGTACAGTTAACCTTTAAAAGTTCAAATTATTGGGAGCAGTAAAACAATTATTATATATCTCTGACAGAAATTTGGTGAAAGTATACCAATGTATCCATTTTATTATTATTAATTATTATTATTACTACTACTATACAAAAAGGATGCTCGCTAAGGCCTTGTTCCCCATAGACAATATCTTGAATCAGTGAATTCTGTAGAAAAAAAAAAAAAAAATCAGTTAAAACAAATCCTTTTCTGATGAGTTTGTAGAAAAAACTGCAATAAAAAGAAACAATATCCTAGAGGAGCATTTTATGGAAAATGGGGGTCTCAGCATTCTTTAAACAGTGCTGCATTCAAAATAAATAGGTTGAAATTGCACTGCACAGGCCTGCATGTGAATCGCAAAGGAACGTACAGCATGTTCATGTGCGATTCCTGGTGTGAACTTGCTCTTAAGGTTATACAGTACATTTTAAAATCTCTTTCTATATTTTAAATACACATTTGTATAATTTATAATTTGGTTTCATTTTTTTTTTTTTTTAATTATGACAAATAGGCTGTTCACTTTTCTTTAGTGTAGTAAATTAGGTGAAGCTCTGCTGACATCCATTATCAAACGTGCAAGCAAAAATACAGTTTTTTTTTTTAATTTGTTGCTGGTGATCGGGTATTCTTTGCAAAGTGATTTTTTACCACATTCACTAAAACAAAGTTTTTATTGCAAAGTAAACAGCCTTTTTCCCTTTAGTAAATCAACCCCTATGTATTCAGTTTTATATTGTAGAATAACCAGCACCCAAATTTAACCACATGCCGCCCAGCCACTGTATAAATACGGCGGCAGGGCGGCACGAGCAGGCAAAACCACGTTTTAAAACGTGTGTTTTGTAAACAGGTAGGGGGCGCGCGAGGCGTACCGCCGCCCTACCTGTCCTGCCGATCACAGCCGTGGATGTCAGTCGCCAGGTCACAGCCAGTCCTTACCGGCTATCTCCCAGCGATTGGCGGCAATCAGTGACAGAGAGCACAGCTGCAGTAGCTGTGCTTTCTGTCACTTCCTTGACAGCTCGATGACAAGCTGATCGGGACAGAAGAGTTTCTCTCTCCCGATCAGCCTGTCCCCATCCAGCACACAAGTCAGTACCCCCCAATGTCAGAAAGTCCGCCACAGTCCCGCCATAAGTTGCTGATCGCTGCCATAAGTCACTGATCGCCGCCATTATTAGTATAAAAAAAAAAACTAAAAATCCCAGTATCTTTCCCGCCATTTGTAAACGCTATAACTTTCACATAAACCAATTAATTTACACGTATTGGGTTTTTTCTTTTAGCAAAGACATGTCGCAGAATGCATTTTGGCAGAAATTTATGACTAAATTTGATTTTTACATTTTTTTTTTACTGGACATGTTTTATAGCAAAAAGTCCAAAATATTGTTTTTTTTCCTTAAAATTGTCAGCCTTTTTTTATAGCGCAAAAAATAAAAACTGCACAGGCGATCAAATACCACCGAAAGAAAGCTCAATTTGTGGGGGAAAAAAAGGATGTAAATTTCATTTATGTACCGTATTGCATGACCGCGCAATTGTCCGTTAATCTAGCGCAGCGCTGTATAGCAAAAAAGTGGCATAAATTACAGTATCTATACCAGCAATGGGCAAACTACGGCCCGCGGGCCGTATACGGCCCGGCGGACCTTTTAATCCGGCCCGCGGAGCGTGGCAAACATTGGCTGTCAGGATGTAGGCGGGGCAGCGTGACGAACTCCTCTCCTCTCACAGTCCGCCCTGAAGACCGGAACGGCACGGGAACACGGCGAGAGGAACGTGCGGAGCAAAGGTAAGTGAATTGACACAATATGGGGAATGAATTACTATAGGGGGGATAATTACTATAGGGGGGATGAGTTACTATGGGGGATGAATTACTATATGGGGGATGAATTACTATGGGGGATGAATTACTATAGGGGGGATGAATTACTATAGGGGGGATGAATTGCTATAGGGGGGATTAATTACTATGCTTACTATGGGGGAATATTACTATACTTACTATGGATGGCATGGTAGTGGCTGGGCCGGCCAGCAGCTAGTCCGGCCCCCGGGTCCAATATATGAACCCATTGCGGCCCTCAAGTCAAAAAGTTTGCCCACCCCTGATCTATACCATAGTTTGTAGACGCTATAACTTTCACACAAAGCAATCAATATACACTTATTGGGATTTTTTTTTACCAAAAACATGGAGCAAAATACATTTCGGCCTAAATTTATAACCAACTTTGAGTTTTACTATATATTTTTTATAGCTGAAAGTAAAAAATATTGTTTTTCTTCAAAATTTTTGGCCTTTTTTTGTTTATAGTGTGAAAAATAAAAAGCGCACAGGTGATCAATTACCACCAAAGAAAGCTCTATTTGTGTGAAAAAAAGGACGTAAATTTCGTTTGGGTGCAGCATTGCATGACCGCGCGCAATTATCAGTTGAATTAGTGCAGCGCCGAGTAGCAAAAAGAGGCCTGGTCATTAAGGGGGGTAAATCCTTTGGCGGTCAAGTGGTTAAAATCATTTCTGGAAATCAACAAATGTCTAATACAAAGTTAAAAGTTTTAGTATGTTAGATAACAATAACAATTCATAATCACCAAACACAAACTGGTTTTAAGTGGAGTTCCAGGTGAATTAAAAAAAAATATAGGTCAGCAGCTACAAAAACTGTAGCTGCTGACTTTTAAAATAGACACTTAAGCCAGCCATACATGGGTCGAATTCCGAAAAAATTTTCTTTTCGAAAATCTTTTCTAAGAATTTTCGATTGAATTTCGCATCATTAATGGGCCACAGAAATGGCCAATTTTCTAGCGACCATCATTGATTGATCAGGCATGTTGGAAATTTTTTGAAAAACTAATGAATTTCAATGATGGGAGAATCATTCAAGAAATGTAAATGAAATAAAATGAGCAGGAGCTGTGACCTGGAAAGAAAAGAAAATTATTGGCCAAGAAAATTCTTTTCTGAAGCAACATGAGGTGAAATTAAAGGCTTGGTTGGTTGAATTTCAAAATTAATGGTGGCACCATTGAATTACAAAATGCACAAAAATGTAGATTTTCTAAAGAAAATTCTTTCGGAATTCGACTCATGTATGGCCTGCATTACCTGTCCCTTAGTCCAGCGGTGTCCTCACCATGGCTGGTTATCTCCCCGATGCAAGCATCTTCAGTATGGGCACACGGCTATGACAGTTTGCGGCTTCACAGCTGGGTGCCCACTGCACATGCGCAAGTAATGCTGTGCTTTCTGAATGGTCTCGTAGTCTTCTAGGACCTGTCACTTGTCCCAGAAGACTATGGGGAGGGAGGGGGGAGGACAACTTTCGCTTCCGATCGCCTTAGGTGATCGCACCAGAAGTCGGAGCGGGTACCTGTCAAATTCGGGTACCCACTCCCCAAAGGTGCCAATCCTTAATGGGGAGCGGGGGACAAAGCCTTAAAGCGGATCTTCCCCTTTTGGGTGGACGACCTCTTTAAGGTCAAAATTGTTCTGCAGAAAGTAATATTACATACATTAATGCCATCATGCATATGTATACCTTTATAAATATGCTAGTGTTCATCTATGGAAACCTGTCTTCCATTTCTAGGCTGTTAGAATAAAACAAAGTTTTATCATATTTAAAAATGATAAAGTACAATGCATATGAGCAACAAAACATCCTAGATTTATTATTCAATTTTAGATATGGCTATTTTGTAAACTGACAGGCAGTGTTAAGAGCAATGATGATGTGCAAGATGCAGGTACCCCTAACAGCTAATCAGATTTCCCCGTACTATAGTCTGGCAAATCAAAGATAAATCCTGTAATAGCTTACTGAACGATGCACATTGATCAACTAGGTTTTTGCAATATACAGAAAGCATAGCATGTAGTGAGAGCTTATAAAGTTTTGGGTTTCATGTCACTTTAAATTGGCATGACAGCTAGGCAGCTAGCATTTTCAGGTCAGCACGTTCAAAGTCACTTAAATCCCCTTTCTTACCCATTCTGATGCTCGGGTTGAACTTCAGCAAGTTGTCTTTACCACGTCTAGATGCCTAAATGCATTGAGCTGCTGCCATGTGATTGGCTGATTAGCAATTTGTGTTACCAAGCAATTGAACAGTTGTGCCTAATAAAGTGGTCAGTGAGTGTATGCTAAGTATGTAGTCAGGCAGGAACTTGTACACATAAATTATATTGGAGACTAGGGGTGAGCTGGGTTTGAATCCAAACTGAGATTAACCCATTTGCCCGAAAAAATTGTCTCATGATGCATCACCATTAGTCACGTAACAAAGGGGCAGGGAGTATCGTGACATCATTGACCTAATATGGCCTATGGCTATACTAGGATGATGTTCTTGCCATGATATGCTTATTTTAGATCAATGATGTCACAAGTATCCCCATTCCTTTGTATATACATGTGGATCTGAGGGGCAAGAAATCTCTTGCCCACAGCTCACTGGCCCAGCAATACAGCTAATCTCCAGGCTCTGAACAAACCCAAGCTCATATCTGTTGGGGACCCTAATTATAGTTCTGAATGGAGACTTTTTTGACTACATCCATACTCTTCGACCCCTTGTAGCACAAAAGACCAAGACATGCATTGAAGACTAAAAAGAGATGCAAAGCATACCCTGAAAAGGAAAAATGGCCTTCCCATTGTGCCAGAGCTATCCTGTAAAATATAACACATCAAGCATTGAAACATTTGGGAGATACACTATTAATATTTGATTATCATCAGACGTTGAACTACTGCCTAAATTAATATCAGTATAGCATATTCTAACATATTTAAAATGTGTGAAAGTATAATGCAATTAAATAATTATAATTAAAATACTGGTAAAAAAACTGTTAAGGAGGCACAGAGAAACATACCTGTATAAATGTATTTATAGATTTTCATGATATTGAATATTTCATTTTATAAATGCAGTTTTCACTCTATAATATATATATATATATATATATATATATATATATATATATATATATATATATACACATACACACACACACAAAACAATAATTTAAAATATAACAATATAATGAAAGGGGTAAATTTTGACCTCATAAATGCAGCTCTATTAACCAGACAGGATATGATTTACAAACTTGGTTGGGCTGTCTGCTTATAGATCCACCACGTGACAATAAAATGGAAATACAGCTGGCTCTAAACCCCTGCAGCCCAATGGCCACATGTGGTCCTTTGTTGTTTGAAGTGTGGCCCTTTGGCCCCAGTAGTCAGTAGAGGGAACATTGATTTTAAAAGGGTTCCATTTTTAGTTGTAATGTCTAGATGTTTAATGCAACATGGCTCTAGTCTCTGACAACTTCCTATAGCATGACTTTAGTCTCCAACCAGTAGAACGATCTCTGATCATTTAATTTAGTAAGACTTCAATCTGGAGCATTGCATGCAATAAATTTGATATGCAGTTCTTTGGAGACATTAGGGGCCTCATTTGAGGCCCCCTTTATTTGCAAGTGTACAACCACTGCTCTAAGCCAGTAACACTTACAGAATTTTTAGATGTACAGGTGGTATTGATTTCAAAATGAGAATCACCTTATGTGATGATGAGAAGGAGAAGGAATAGAAAATAGGAAGCTTGCTGGAAAAGAAAATTATCATTGGTGGCCAGTGTGCAAGATCAGCATTACTAGTGCTAGAGCCTCATGCTCCTTTTGATAATGTGGTCCTTTTACTGAAAATTTGTAGGGGGTCATCTTCCAGTCTCAAGTCTCGTCCTCCCCACATCATGATACATAAAAAGTTTTTGTCTGATCCCCATTAAGAAACATCACAACCAGTATTACAATAAAAGTAATGTCATTAAGAGGGTTGATTTATTAAAACTGGTGCACTCAGAATCTGGTACAGCTATGCATGGTAGACAATCAGATTCTAACGTCCACTTTTTCAATTAAGCTTTGACCAAAAAAACCTGGAAGCTGATTGCAGAGCTGCACCAGATTTTGGACCATGCAGTTTTAGTAAATACTATAAGCGCTGCTTTATACCCAGACCTTTTAATACCTACAGTTTTCATAGGTGTTGCAAGTCCCACCATAAATTCCACCATCGCCAAGGATGACCATTTTCTTTTTAGGAGTCTGTATGTTAAGTAACATTATGGTGCAAATAAAACGGATGATTGTGTGATAATTTTTGGCTCCTATTATTGTACACTGCTATGCAGGCTTTTTTTCTAACAAAAAAAAACAATTATAATCTTCTGATCCGATACAGCGTCTGCAAAACTTGTCTGAGCCTAGAAGACTATACTATAGATAAGTAGCACAGACATATCAAAGACCCAGAAAGATTATTAAGTAGCATCAATACGTACGGCACAAGTTTGTTCTTAAGGTTTGACGTTATATCCAAAATAATGGAAATTGTCTTTGCAATAAATACTATAACAAGTGTAAATGTAGAGAGAACAGAGCGTTATTGTGTATCTTTCCTTTTTCTTTTAATAGAATTGAATAAGGGTTTTCCAGGGCTGCAGTCACATGATCCTGCAGCACATCAGGAAAAAGCACACCGGAAATTAAAGTTACCATTAAGGATGTTACTCATTGCCCAGAATCATGGGCCAAAGTATCACATCCAGAAATATCCATCAAGAAAATGTATTTCCTTCTCAGGAATGGCGGACTTTAATGGTACCACTACCAGGGGCGGACTGACAATTCATGGGGCCCCCGGGCAATAGGGGATCATGGGTCCCCTGTGTCCTTGCTCAAATCAAAGCACACCCAAAAAATCCTATAAAAAAGGTACTAGGTGCATTTCATGGGGCCCCCTACTGACCCCGGGCCCTCGGGCAGTGCTCAAATGGTCAGTCCGCCCCTGACCACTACACATCTCCAGGTGCGGTTTCTCAGAGTCCTGTCTGTAAGCCAGTTGGCCCCCTATGAGCCACATGGTGGACCTGATTACAGCTATAATCCTTTGTATCACTGGGGATTACCGTACAATGTAATTAAGAGAAATTGGGTGTGTTAACTTACACTTGCTGATACAGTGATTATACTGCATATGTATGACCAACTGACCAGCATAAGAAACTGACAGTCAGGAAAGACTTTTTTAGGGGTTATATCTATAAGAGGTCCTATATCTGGAAGACTAACCCCACACAGTTGGTACCCATGCACCTGCTGCTGTTGAGGGGTCCTGGGTGCCATCTATGGCATCTTTGGATAATGGGCAGTGCTATACCATGTGATACCCATGTGGCTCCTCTGATCAATCAGGCTTCATGTTACCTGCAAAACATGTAGAGTTGTTCTTCATTCCACTGAATTACCTGCACTTTCTATACAAAGGATATTATGCTGTAATTGTCTGTGTGAAAATGTTAAAAAGATGTATGATATAGGATGACATAAAGATGTACACATATACAGGGGTGGACTGACAACTCATGGGGCCCCCGGGCAATAGGGGATCATGGGGCCCCTGTGTCCTTGCCCAAACTCAAAAAAGCCTATGAAAAAGGTACCAGGGTCATCTCATGGGGCCCCCTACTGACCCCAGGCCCTCAGGCCCGAGTTTCCAAATGGTCAGTTCGCCCCTGCACATATATATGGTTAGATGAGACATGGCTTAAGTCAACTCAGGATACTCACTGTTATTAATAAAGAGTATATATTTTATCTGACTCACCATGGCACCAGACTTTTTTTTTTTAGTTCACTAAAGAATGGAGGTTTGCAGAGACCTTTCAGGCTGGGTGCCATAGCTTTGAGGCTGATGATGAATCTTGTGGAGGTGGTAGTTTGGACACACCTGTTCCAATCAAGACATAGGCCTTGCAGGGGGTTTACCATTATTTTTATTTTAAATTATTGCTATGTATCCAAACTTACAATATGCTATCTACACCCTTGTATCAGGATTTTAAGTTAAAATTAAATAAATATAATACTTGGTTTTTATTCAAATTACATGTGTTGTGGTACAACATTCCTATTGAGGAAATACATTTTCTTGAACCATTAAGGATGAACAAACCACTTTAGCAGAGGCTCTCAGAATGCTCATTACAGGACTTGAACACAGTTCGATCAAAGCCCTATAGGTTTTTCAATTGAAATCAATCAATGTGCTTCACATTTAAACTGTTTTACAGCTTTCCACAGCAATTCATTAATCAGAAAAGAAAGTACAAACGACTTTTTCGACACTGATTTCATCTTCAGAGAGAACCTCAATTATACTCTTTCCTCTCTTGAATAAATCTCACCCAGAAGAATATTCTTATAAGACCTCACAGATGACTGGGTCCACAGACCCAAAGGCTTAAATATTATACAAAATATGTACTTTAACAAGCTTTCAGTTCACTCTATGACATTATGTTTTCTATTATTGGAAACATTGGGATAAACCATATAAGCATACCTTTTTTGTAAACTCTTCTGTAGTAATATGTGATTCCTATAAAGAGACCATGAAAATAATGGTATTCATTGCTTCATATAAAACTTATGTGAGAAGCAATAATAGGGATATGCTTTCCAAAGTTGATTATACTCATGTTAAGGTTCACCCAAATTTCAAGATGTGATGCTAGCAGGATCTTTGTTTGCTCTGCCTTTTCACTGCAACCTCGCTATTCTGCTCAGCTTTTTGCTAAATAAGAGTGTTATGGCATTAAAAGAGAAGTAGGGTTTTTTTCTCTCCCATTTATACTTACCTAGGTGGATGCAGCATTGGTCTGATGCTGTATCTGTCTTCCGCTGGCTCTAAGTGTGAGAACTCAGTATACACATGACTGCTAAATGTGGAGATCTCACAGCCTTTCTGTGTAAGGGGAGGGAGCGGCTGGCTCAGGTTCTCAGTGATTTGCTGAGATGCTGAGCCAGGTGCAGCTCCAGACTCTGGGGTGGATCCTGACTTTAGAGTCGGGATCTGTCCAAAGCCTGGACCAGCTGAGTGATGTCAGCCCACTGTCAGCTGAAAACAGGTCACAGGAGTGCAGAACAAAGTGCACTCCTGCAATCCACAGGAGAAGTACAGCCAAAAGTAGCTTTTGCTGTACTTCTCCTTTAACTATTATTAACTATCTTGAGCCTTTAAACTTTGAATCTTTATTATGGTGTTAACCAATGCCTGGGAAATGTGTTGTACAGCAGATCCATTTGTGATTCTTCTGACGTGATTATGGCTTTCTTAATATTTCTACATTCACACAGATTTGTATTGTGAAAAATGCAACTTAGTAGCACTAGAAAAGGATATGCTGATTTTAAAAATCCAAAATGTAAAGGAAAGCAATTGCAGAAACCTAAACCTACAGAAACATTGTTCAAAGTTGATAAGTAAATAGCATGTCTCAAACCCTTCCAAAATGCTACACAAGCTATTAGAGCAGTGGTTTTTAACCTTTTCTTGATTCATGGACCTCATCAAGAATCCAATGAAAGCTATAGACCCTTCCCAAGAGATATTCACATAAACACAAATTTGCATGCAATGAATACATGTACTTTATTTTAATGAAATGTGATTGCCTCATACATATATAAAACATAGAAAGCTTGAATAAAGGAAACAATCTTAACAAAAAAACTCACTCCGTTTCATGCAAAAAAGTAATGGACACTCAGCAAAAAGAAAAATAAATAAATACAATCATCTTGTGCAAATTAAACAAAACAATTTTAAATCTGTTCAAATCTACTGCTAGAAAATTAGAATTAGCACTTGCTATAATGAAGTGGCACAAGATGGCAGTTGCAGAGAGAATGATGATAACAATTTAAATGGTAAACATGGGCCAACAATGAGTCAAGAGCTGCTTAGCGCTATAAGTACTGGCAGGGTGCATTTCCTTTAACCTCTTGCCATCTGCCGCACGCATATGTTTTGGTGTATCAAAATGTAAAAAATGCTGTGCCGAGATTGTGCCCTGCACGCTCCCAGCACAGTTACCAGCGGGTAACCGAAAGCTCCTGATCTCTATTTGTGATTGGGAGCTTTCAGATCAAGTGATTGCTCTGACAGCCAATCACAGCGGTCACATGACTGACATGCCCTCCTCTGAAAGGTCCGGGGGGCACCAGTGGGAAAGGGGTTAATTTCTTACAATGGGAAACCATTGATTGGAACAAGTGGGAGAGCTGTATAGTGAAAGTAACTGTTATTATTTATCTGACCTTTATGGACCCTCTGAAACCCATTTATGGATCACATAGGGGTCCATGGACCCTAGGTTAAGAACCCTTGCATTACAGGGTATACACAGTGCCCCTTCCCTCCTATACAAGTCTTTTTCCCTTTCACTTTCTCTTTCTCTTTCACTAAAAATCACATCAACATGCAGCTCTGCAGGCTGATGTGAAATACTTTAGCTGATATTGTTTAAGTAAAGAATATTGTTGTTACATACTTATAATATAATCACACTTTCTGGACATATAACATAGCCAAATCTTAACAGATGTCCATGGGGAAGGCTACGTCACCAGTGTCTTCCAGGGAGATCTCATTCTTAAACTGTGAGATCTTGCAAGATCTCACGGAAAAAGGCTTTTTTTTTCAATAGGTGAGTGTAGTGTCATGCGATACATATCCAAGATGAGGTGCAACAACATTACACTCATCTATCACTACCTGATGTGTCACAAGATCTTGGGGGGGGGGGATTTTTTCAGGTAACTGAGGCTAGGATGTTATGGCGCATGCAAGGAGTAACGTGAAAATGTCATTGGTGGGCCAGCAGAGAAGAAGGAAGAAGAAGCCAGCCACAAATTAGGTCTACAAGGCAAGATGATGGCATTGGTTTTGAGGAGGAGATGAGAAGAAGAGAAGAGGCACATTAGCATGCAGCAATATGGAGACCTACTTTGCAACAACTAGTTGAGTAATGGTGGCAGTTTAAAAAGAGAGGGTGGGGGTCTGCTTTAATTAAAAAGATCATGTTAGCTATGGCTTCCAATGTAAAATGTATCATTTAGCTGTTATTTAAATTTCCACAACTGACAGTGAACATTGGTTTTGTACTCACCCCAGTTTTTAGAGCAGGGTCTTGTGCTCTGGAGTAGTGAAATAGAAACTACGAAAAACAACAGTATAGTTATGTTCCTAAAGAATGCACAATGCTTATGGAACATATATACTATTTTGTAACTTACTCTTTTATATACCTCTTGGTTATTCCCCTGGAAAACATTAAAAAACATTTTTGCTTTAAACAGAGCTGAATAAATACCCGTGGCTACAGTGAGTTAATGATAAAACCTTGGCATTAAGATGAAAGCAAACATCCTTGTGGGTGCATTGTGTATCATTAATACTTGTGTATTTGTTAATGTACATCAGGTTTCACAGGCCATTGCTGGTTCAGTGGTTTTAATCTCCTACAGATAGGGAGGGCATTGCATTAGCTGCTCAAAGTTCCAGCCCTTCCTACTGAACTCCAGAGGTGTTTTTTTCCCCAGAAGATAATGTTTGTATTAATTACTCATATTGCATTATACACATTCAGAATCCTATCACAATAAAGGAAATATTTGGCAGGAGTTATATGGAAGCTACTGTTGCTGACTGTATTGTACTGATGCCTTGGCTTCTAAAAATAAAGTATGGAGATCAAGAGTTATATTGTCAGTCTTTTATTTAATGCATGCTTGTTCAGGGTCAGTGTCAGAGAAGTACTGATTTTAGGCAACCACATTATTCAGAAGAGAAGCAAATGCAGCGCACATGTTTAGTTCATGACAGATGCACTTGCAAGAAGCTTGTAGGTGGACATTGCAATACTAATTTGGTGCAGAAAAGTTTATAAAATTAAACAGCAAAATGTGCTTCATAAAAATGTGCTGTGCTAAAAAAGCACAAATGCATAAAAGTTATAGGGGATTAGGTGCCCTCAAAATATTTTAGTAATATTGTTATATTTCTATCAATATTATCAAATGAGAACATTGAGTGATCCTGACATTTTCATGGTGAGGCGGCTCTCACTGTAAATAATCAATCATCCCTCTGGCTCCACCTTGCAATTCACGTTGGTTCATTAGTATGTGGGTGGCAGGGGCAGACTGACCATTTAGAAACGTGTGCACTACCCAAGGGCCCGGGGTCAGTAGTGGCCCCATGAGATGCCCCTAGTACATTTTTCATAGGCTTTTTTGAGTTTGGGCAAGGGCACAGGGGCCCCATGATCCCTATTGCCCGGGGGCCCCATGAGTTGTCAGTCCTCCCCTGGTGGGTGGATAGCAGGGGAGGAGGGGGAGACCATACCTTAGAAGCAGTTGGAGCTGCCCCACAAAACTACGAACAAAGTCACGTGGGGCGGGTTTTTTAGGAGAAAAACAAGGAAGTTCACATTAGATGCAGTTCAGTGCGCTTTTTTTTCTGCATCAAAACTGCATGCACAGTGTTTTTCATGTATTCTAATGGCCCTAGTTCACACCAGTGCAGTCGGTTCAGTCAGTTTCCTGTTCAGAAAAAAAATTAAACATGCTGCATTTTTTTTCAGCACAGAACCATACTGGGAACATAGCAAACTGCATCTAAACTGTACCGGAAGTGCCTGTGGTGTAAACTGTGAGCAACAACGTATCCAGAATGCATCCGGAGTGCATTTTTGTAGTGTGAACTGGCTCTTAGTGCTACTTCACATTAGATGCAGTCCAAAGTGCTTTTTTTCTGCATCACAAATGCATGCACAGTGTTTTCCATGTATTCCAATGAACCTAGTTCACACCAGTGCAGTCAGTTCCAGTCAGCTTTCAGTGAAGAGAAAAAAGTAGAACATGCTGCATTTTTTCTGCACAGAACTGTTCTGGAACATGCCAAACTGCATCAAAACTGTACTGGAACGATGTGTGGTGTGAACTGTAAGCAAAAACATATCTGGAATGCATCCGGAGTGCATTTTTGTGGTATGAACTGGCCCTAAGGGTTTTTTCTGCATCTAAAACGCACAGAAAGTAGGTTATATGGTTGTCAATGTCATAGTTCACAACAATGCTTGCAGTTCCAGTGCATTCCAGTGGCAGATAAAAAAAGTAGAACAGGCTGCATTTTTCCGGCCCAGAACTGTACTGGAATGCAGTAAAACGCATAAAAAAGCACCGGAACGCACCAAAAACGCACTGGAATGCACATTATTATTACTATACAGGATTTATATAGAGCCAACAGTTTGCGCAGTGCTTTACAATATAAGGGAGACAGTACAATTACAATACATTTCAGTACAGAAGGAATGTGAGGGCCCTGGTAGTGGAGCTTACACTCTAAAGGAAGGGGGAGGTGATACAAAAAGTGAAAGCTGTGGGGGATGATCTGGCGGAGGTGATTCAAGTACAGTTCTTAGGTGGAGGTGGGGTAGGCTTCCCTGAAGAAGTGAGTTTTCAAAGATCGCCTAAAGGCAGACAGGGTGGGGGCTGACCAGACTTGCTGTGGTAGGGAGTTCCAGAGGATGGGAGAGGCTCTGGAGAAGTCCTGGTGGCAAGTGTGGGAAGAGGTGATGAGGGAACTAGAGAGGAAGATATCATGGGAGGAGCGGAGCGGGCGATTTTGGTGGTATCTGTGGATGAGGTTGGCGATGTAGCTAGGGGTAGGGTTGTGGATGGCTTTGTAAGCTGTCCCTATTTAAACTGAAAAAAAAATTGAGGGGAAAAAATGAACAGGAAAGCATCAAAAACAGCACTGGTCAAAAACATCAAAGCTGAACATTGCAAAAACGCATCAAAAACGCGCATGCAGAAACGCATCTGGACTGAGTTTCTATAGTGTGAACTGGCCCTTAAGCTGCCTCAGCCTGCATTGAGCATTATGTTAAACAACATAGAACTAATTTTTATGCTTACTTGAGCCCGACACAAGTGGATTTAAGTGTATTATGTCAACACTAAACACGGATGGTTAAAAGCATACCATATACTCATTTCTCATTCCTTACCTCATTGACCTTCATTCTATTGTAAATGGAGCTACAAAGATCCATGACAAAATTGGAAATCTGAAAAACATTAAAAAAAAAATCAGTTTGTAAATGATCACTGCAAAAAAGGTTTTGAAACATTTGACATGTCTTCACAATATTGTTCAAATATTGGGAAGAATGTTTCCTTTTTATACTGAATATAAAAATAATTTTAAAAGCTTATATTTCACTTCAGTTTATTTCAGATAAATGATGGAAGGGAAAATCACATGTGTTTAAAGCTGAACTACAGGCACATAAAAAATACACAAATTAAAGCAGCTTTTTACTCATTAATGCACCGTCACATTTTATTTTTTAAGAAAGCATTGAAAGCACCTGAATGTGACTTGACTCAGTATTCTGAAGTCCTCCATACAGCAAAACACAAGCTGGAGGAAGTAGAAGCAGCACAAGGGAACAGTCAGTTGTGCTACAGTGAAAAGAGCATGCTGAGAGGTGGATAGAGCAGAGTGATAGAGATATGGCTTGTCAGTCTGCTGCGTCTTCACTGCCCAGGCACAGGGCAGTGGTGGGGAGGAGGCATGTAAGTGTTACTGAACTGCAGCAAAGAAAAATTAGGTCTCCCCACCTGCCAGACAGGCTGTGTGCTGGGGCTGGGTTGTGTAAATCTCAGAAATGGATGGACTGGCACATAAAACCCAAGGCACATTAAAAAAACTCCTTTATATGTATTGTATATCATCTGTGTATTTAGCTGTTCGCCCAGAGTTTAGCTTTAAAGTTTGTGGACATAGCAGGGTTGATTTACTAAAGGCAAATAGGCTATTTGCTTTGCAAGGGAAGATTTCCCTTGTAAATTCACTTTGCAAAGGATAACCAATCTCAAGAAAACAAGGGAAAAAAGCAAAAACAAAAAACAATATTTTTCCTTGCACGTTATTGATAATGGAAGTTAGTATAGCTTTACCTTATTCAAAAAGCTAAGAGAAAATATCACTTGCAAAGTGAAGAACTTGTTTGCATTTAGTAAATCAAGCTCAGTGGAATCCAAATACTGGTGCACCATGGTTTGTAAGAAGACACAGAGTATCTGTGACATTGTGAGATGGGGAAACAGCTCTCATTGTTTGAACACTGTTTGTGTGGAAGTAAATTAATGTTTTGACTGACATTCTGCGGTTTAGCCACAAGATGTCACTGTTTTTCTGACACAGACTGCATAGATATTTGTATATTCATGAAGAGGTGGGGTTTTGCACACAGAGTTGGAGAGAACAGGAAGAAGAGAGAGAAGCCATGTTTTGGAGCATGGTGAATAAGGGGCCGTGTGAGCTGAGAATCTGATGACCTCCAGGTGTGAAAGCTTCCCTCAGTAACCAGAGATTGCTGCCAGGAATGCTGATGAGATTGCTGCCAGGAAGCTGATGAGATTGCTGCCAGGAATGCTGATGAGAGCAGAGGAACTAAGCAACATATATGGCAAGACCACATGCTTGTTGGAGAGACATTTGTTCTGTTCACAGCCACCAGCAGATGTAAAGCAGACCCGGGTCAGTAAGATCGTGCACGCACCTCATTTCAGTGTTGGCGACTTGAGACTGAGTCCAGGCCTATAGTTAGTTAATTAGGGTCTCTGTCTGTGTCAGGCCACAAGTGTTGTTACTGATTATTGGAAGGACTCCACAACTTAAAGTGACATTTCACATTGGAGAGCTGATAAAATCCTACAGACTCAAGCCAGACTGGCGTTTTGCTCAGAAGGAATACTCAGGCACGTGCTACAGGACCAGTTATGGGAGGGGGAATACTGTAGATTTGTGTAAGATTGTAAGCTGTTGTGCTGCACCGCAGGCTAGCCTATACTGTACACCCTTACACTGATTCCTGCTCTTTTAGGGTAATAACAGGTAAGGTGTGGCAGCTTATTTGTGCCCGCCAGTAGGTAAATTACTTCACTTTCTACCTTCATCCATCAGAAGGCGCCGTGCTGTGCAGCACAAGGGTCTCAGCCTTTGGGCTGGGTGTATGTAAATTTATTGTATGTTTCCAGCATTTGTGGTTGTGCTTATCTGCCACATCTAAGTAAAATTCTGTTGTGGCAAAAGCTGGTGTTGGGGTTGCTTTCCTCGTTCTTGACTTCACTGTATCCTGGGGAGCCCACCCCGGTACATGGCTTACAAAATACCCAGTCACCCAGAATATGCAAGTCTTTCTATCTGTAGAGGCCATGTAATCCAAATACTGGTGCACCATGATTTGTAAGAAGACACAGAGTATCTGTGACATACCCAGTCACCCAGAATATGAAAGTCTTGGTATCTGTAGAGGCCATGTGATCCAAATACTGGTGCACCATGGTTTGTAAGAAGAAACAGAGTATCTCTAGCATACCCAGTCACCCAGAATATGCAAGTCCTGGTATCTGTAGAGGCCATGCGATCTTTCGGAAAGGTAAAGTATGTTTTTGGGTAGCAAGCAAGAGGTGAAATAAGAACAGGTTTTATACATTTTTTCAACTGTGCTTGCTCCATATGGGATGTTAAAACTCAATATTTTGTCTGAAAACCCTTTGTCTTTAGGACAGCATTTTCAGTTTTTCCTAAGAACGCCTGCACAGTTTTTTTAAGGAACTTGGCAGGTAGATTGTTCAAAACATTTAAGAATGCCACCTGCAGTTCTTGTTCTTCTTTTCATAAAGTTCTTTATGATTTCGGTTGTATGTTTGGGGTTCCTTGTCCTGCTGCAGAATGATTTATTTAGGGACCAGATGGCTCCCTGAGGGCATTGCTTGATTGATAAGTAACTGCCTGTATATTTCAGTATTAGGAGACCCAATAATTCTGACCAAATCCCAAAATCTTTGTGCAGAAATGTTCCAGACCTGGAACCTCCACCAAGCTTCATTGTTGCTTGCAGACTCTCATCTGTGTACTGTTATCCAGGTCCTCAAAGAGCAAACTGCTTTCTGTTACATCCAAATATTTTAAATTAGAACTTATTTGTCCAGAGCATAAGCAGGTCACTTGTTCTTGTTTCCACATAGAAGGTATGCCTTTTTAACTATATTTCTTCCATGTAGACCACTTCTGACCAGACATCTCTGATAGTACCACTTGATTTTGCCAAGTCTGAGCTGATGGTGACACTAAACATCTTAGCCAAGGGGAAGAGAGCATGATGTGTCTTTCATATGTTTCCTTAGCTGACCACTGCATGTTTGATTCATCCTTCAGCAGAACAGCATGTACAGCACATTTAGAAACATTTGTATTTCTTGAATTGGAAGATGTTTAAGGAATAACTACATCTCAAATAAAATTTTGATTGTAAGCAAGATAAGATATGAACTAAGGGGTAGTCAAGTTGCATATAATATTGATTACAACAGGACTCATGGGAGAGTAGTGGATGATGTTTATGTCTCTCTCAGCTACTTACATAACTGATTCTGATTCTCTCAGACAGGCCAGGCATTGTGACACACCCAAGTGCCTTCTAATACAAGTATTGGTTAGGAGACAAATAGAGGTTGGGACGATGCCCTAGGCACCCCTGTGGTAATGATGAGTCGGTCATGCATCTTATGTGGAACTGCCCCTTTGTGCAGTGTTTTTGGAGCAGAGTTGGGGGAATTTTGAGGAGCTTGGCAGATATGCGATTTTTAAGCTATGAGAGGGTGGTGTATGGTGTGAATTTATCTGCGGCGCAAGGGAAGAAATGGATAGCGTGGCGAATAATCTGTGCTGGGAAAGAAGTTTTGTGGCAATGCCGTTGCATATTGGTTCAGAAAAGAGAGATGATATCTGTGGATGAATGTATTAAGTTATTATTGTCCAAAATGTTTGTGTATTACTTGTGGGACCTGAGGAGCTTTGGGGATAAAGCTAAAATGGAGTGGAAGGTGGGACAATGGTCCCAGTTTACGTAGAGATGGAGTATATAATATCTTGATTTGACATTTTGTAATAATTAAAATAAAGAAACAAAAAAACAAAAAAAGGGAAAAAACAAAAAAAGGGAAAAATATAACCAAAATAAGTGATGTAACTAGTGGACTCAACATAAGGAGTTTGCTTCGATGAAGTCTCTATGCCGTTGAGTTAAAAACTGAAGTGCTGATATTTTGGTAAAAAAAAAAATAAAAAAAATAGAGGTTCTCTTGTGACTGTAACGGTCAATTCAGAAAGTAAAAAGTAAAGTTTTGCCGTGCAGGTTTGTGGGGTGTGGGATGAAAGTCCCTAAAATTGGATAGTGTGGAAACTGTCCTTTGAAAGTTTATCATGAGCAGATGAGATTTTGCATTGCTTTTTTTGACTGGAAAACCTGTATCATAAAGGTATCCTTGACTAGTTTTGAACCACATGCAGTGGACCTGATCATTTGTCTACTCTGGTGAGGGCTATCATTCTTAAAGGAGACACAAGGGGAGGTTTACTAAAATTGGTGCACACAGAATCTGGTGGTACAGAATCTGGTGCTGCTGTGCATAGTAGCCAGTCAGTGTCTAACTTCAGCTTGTTCAATTAAGTTTTGACAATAAAACATAGTCGCTGATAGGTTACTATGTGCAGCTGCACCATATTCTGTTACACCAGTTTTAGCCACTTACCCGTGGCCCCATAGCAGATGTATTGCTACAGGGCGGCTTTGCTGGGCAAAATCACATAAAAATACGTGATTTTGCATTTCCAGGTAGAGGGCACGCTGCTTCCAGCACAATCACCCGTTTCCAGCCAGCGATTTTTGCACGGGACTCGGTGATGGTCGGCAAAGCTGAGTGTGGAGAGATCTGTATGTAAACAACACAGATCTCTCTCCTGTCAGCATGGACATGCTGCTTTCTGTCTCTCTGCACCACAGAGCTATAGAAAGCATCAGGTCTGCTTAGTAAAAATGCACACAATACACAATAAAATCAGTCCCTAACACACAGTTAACCCTTTGATCGCCCCACATGTTAACCCCTTCCTGCCCAGTGCCATTAGTACAGTGTCAGTGCTTTTTATTAGCACTGATCACTGTATTAGTGTCACTAAAGATGTCAGTAGCAGTTAGTCAGCTGCCACCCAGTG